TTGGTAGTAAATAGATTTCGTATTTATTTAGCATTATATTTTATTGAAACGCTCCAAGTGCCTGTTGTTGACATGGCCATGGTGGTAAAAGAATCGTTTGGCTTACCAGTTGTAATTTTCGCAAATTGGAGTAGGTCCTTTAAAATCGACAGGGGCGGTTGTTCGCCAGTTCGAATGCGTAAAACAGCAACATGTACCAGCTCCAGCATTAACCTATCTTTTGAGTTATATTACTCTTCGTCATTACCTAACATTGCTCAGGGTGTTGATTATTGATATCTGTCAAGAAATATGTCACTTGTTCGCAGAAAGGCAGGAAAAAACGCCGTTTAACCGACGATACTCACCTGTTTTCAACTGTTTCTCGCAATTGCGACGCTCGCGTGTTTCACGTCATAGCATACCTCACACCCCGTACAGGCTGCAAAATTTGATCCCACATCAAACTGGTCCGGGCCAGGACCGGGCTAGACGCGGACTACATCGCAGCGTACAGACACAAAATTCTGAAGCGTGCTAATTTGGCGAGCTTTCCATACGGGTTGACTGTGCACCGGGGGGGGGGCACTCCATATATATTGTATGGTAGGTATGGGCCACGGTTGAGACTCCCGTTTTCACCTACAGATTTCCGCACCGGAGACCCCCCTTTTCACATATTTCCCGTCACGGAGCATATAGGTCCTGCTTTTTCTCGTTCTGCGGAGACCCATTGTAACGACGATGATGACGTTACCCGGTTCAAAGTAGATTAGTTGTAGCGATGAATAATGAAACTCCAAAGTCCAGGCAGTTGTGTTCATCAAATAGTATTATTGTTTCTCAACCCACATGCGCGCGCACAGAGGCACCATACTTTACATTACCTTCCTTTCCTCCAAGACGATGGCTTCTATAAGCCATCGACTTTAGCGTCCTCGCTAATCTAAAATAAACCCTAATCGTAATCCACCCTACGTACACACCCATGCACACTTACATCCTACTGATTCCTACATACACACACGCATACGCACGCGCACCTGTCTCTCATCCTGGCGATTAGACAATCCAATATTACCCGAAATTGCTCGTACCCTACTATACTAATACAATATCTCTTTGGCTGAACACCAATACACTCATATACAAAAATACAGTTTGAACAAAAATCCATATGACCACTATAATACAACATCGATACACAGATACACAGATCGATGGAATACACAGCCCTTTGAAATCATCCCACGGACACTCTGATATAATCCACATGCTTGACCCGACTTGCCAAGCTAACCACCATGATTTAAACAGTTTATTGCTTAATATACCGAGAAAACATCAACAACAACTTAAGTACACGGCAAGAAGTTCGCGGCCAAATGTACTGTAGCGCGTCTCAGCGGGCAACAATTTGCGTGAAAAGAACGCGATCGGCTGCCAAGCGTTATCCGTGAGTTGTTGCACAACTCCGCCTATAGCCCGATCAGATGCGCCTACCATGAGACTGAGTGGCGCGTTAGTGTTGGGGTATGCGAGTAGAGTGGCGCGCGCCAACTGCTCTTTGATCGCATGGAATGCTGCGTCGCATTCCGGCGTCCAATCAAGAGCTTTCCTCGAACGCTGGCTGTGCTTACCAAGGAGATCAGTGAGAGGCATAAGCGTCTTGGCGCAGTCGGGGATAAATCTCCGATAGAAATTGACGAGGCCCAAGAATCCTCTTAGGCGCTTGAGGGATGTGGGGACCTCGCAATCACGGACAGCGGCTACCTTATCAGGCAGAGGGCTAATACCGTCCTGATCAATGTGGTGGCCAAGGAAATCGCGTTCAGTCAAACCAAATGAGCACTTGTTCGGGTTCACCACGACACCGTATTGTTGTAAGCGGGTGAACAGCAAGCGCAAATGCTGCTCGTGCTGCTGCATGTTGTCTGATGCGACCAGCAAGTCGTCTATATACGCGTAGACAAACGGCAATCCGCGCAATACCTTGTCGATAAAGCGCTGGAATGTCTGCGCGGCGCAGTGCAATCCGAAAGGCATTCGGGTAAATTCGAATAAACCGAACGGGGTTGTGATGGCCGTCTTGTGCACATCACCGGGCTCCACGGGTATCTGATGATACGCCCTGACAAGATCTATTTTGGCAAAAAAAAATTTGCTATGGAGTCCAGATGCGAAATCCTGTATATGCGGAACGGGATAACGGTCGGGAACGGTCACTCGGTTCAGTGCGCGGTAATCACCACACGGACGCCATTCACCCGGGGACTTCTTCGGCACCATATGCAACGGCGAGGACCAGTTACTGTTAGACGGCCGAATAATGCCTAGATCCAGCATATGGTTAAATTCGTCGCGTGCGATTTGAAGTTTGTCCCCAGCTAGCCTGCGCGGACGTGCTGCAACAGGGGGTCCGTTCGTTTCGATGTGATGTGTTACATCGTGCTTTACGTCGTCGGAATGATATACCGGACGGGTTATATCCCCGAATTCACGTTTGAGCATGTGCTCAAACGTGTTGTCGGAATCACGGTCTCCGTAGACCGGGCTGACGGCGGGACAATCGGACGGCGTGCCCATGACTGACAAGCTGGTCAGCGGGTCGACGAGTCGACGTCTGTTGACATCGACCAAGAAATGAAAATGGTGCAAGAAATCCGCGCCTATGATCGGTGTAGGGACATTCGCGATGGTGAAAATCCAGCGGCATGTTCGACGCAGGCCTAAATCCAGGGTCAAAGAGCGTTGGCCGTATGTGGGAATGGGGGTCCCATTCGCAGCTTGCAAGTTAAGCGCGCAAACATTCCCCTTCTCTTGCCTAGAAGGCGGGAAAACGCTCACTGCAGCGCCAGTATCGACCAAGAATTGCCTGCGAGAATTAACATCTGTGATGTAAAATAGGCGACTGCAGTGCCCAGATTGCGAGACAACACCCAGCTGTGGCGAAACAGGCAAGT